TTCAATGTAACCTTCAGCAACCGAGCTTGATCGCCAACCTCCATGTCGCTTTAAAACTGTTATGTCCGCTCCTGAACCTGCCAGCATTGTTGCAGAGCTGCGGCGGAAACAATGACCAGTGTATTCAATGGCGTTGGAGAGTCCTGTAACGTTTTCTTGACACAATGCAAACGGCAGCTTTTCGCCTTTGCGAGCAGTCGTAGGTTCGTTTTTTTATTATATTAGACAAGGACAGTAATTGGTGGATGAAGTTAGGTCTTTAAAATGAACTAATACTTAAGAATAATAAGTAATCAAAATTTAAATGTATGACATAAAAAAAATAGTATCACTTGTTCTTTTGATTAAAAGCCATTGACATATTAATATCTATTAAATTACGCAAAATAAAAAAAGTTAAATAAGTACCTCAAACTAACGCAGTTCATGAACCTTGTTATATGCGCACATAATTCCGTAAATCAATCAAAAGTTAATTAAATAAATATGTCAAGTGACACCATCACAAAATACTTGACAAGATATTAAAATATATAAAAATTTGTATATTTAAAATGATATCTAATAATTACATAATTAATTACGTAATTCGTCAACAGTAAGTAAATAGATTTGAAATGAGTTAATAAAAAAATATGAAATCTGGCCTGATTATCCGGTGCAATTCCAGGCTTTGGCTCGTCCCTCTAGATGGTGTGTGGATGTTAGGTGTGGGAGCTCATCCCCAATCTACCACAGCCTCGAACAGTCCCTTACAATACCACCAGCCATGTGGAAATCAAACATGGATCATAGATACAGGCTCTCGTACCTCAAACCACCAATCACGACATATAACTCGCCATGTAACTGGACGGTAAAACCCTGGAAACGACACAACTTATGCACAAAATGCATTTTAGCAATTCTAGAACTTACCTCACGATGCTGAGGGTTTACTCAAAAATTAAATTCATGACAGGACAACCAAAACCACGTTTAGAAAATCTGTAAAGAGATAAGGTTGAACCAAAAGATCAAAATACCACGAAAATACCCATGAAAACTTAAAATTGATCCCTTCCCCAAATGCCAGGAACCATTAGGACTACATTCCAAAGGTTAATAGGGTAAAAAGGTTGAAGCTTTCTCGGATGACTTCGGATAAGTATGTCGATGTTTAAGCCACGAAATCTGAATCAAAAATGGTGACTTCCGATAGTCAAAAAGATGCTCTAGTTCAGGGGTGCAACTTTGTTCAAGTTAGCAACCGATCGTTTAGAAGCGATGTCAAAACCAGATCGATACTATGTTCATTGCAAAACTATTGTCGCTCAAATGCTGCGAAATATGGTATCACTATCACACTCTTGCACACGTGTCTAGACTGTCGCCTCGCCACAAAGCGAGAAATCAGAATATCGCTACGAATCGATGTTGCTACTGAACATAGTGCATCAAGCTACAAATTACTTTGCTATCGCTTTGAAACATGAACAAAGTTGCACCCCTGCGCCGACAAGGGCAAGTACGATCAACAGAGTATCCGAAATTAGTCAGAACTAATTCGGTAGGGTGTATGTTGGGTTGCCAATAGTATCGTTTTATTAAAATGTTACAGTCCAAGAAAAATATTTTTTGGCATTGGCCCCAATGGTATTGATTCCAACCGGCAGAGTACAGCATTGATTTTTTCGATACGTCAAGAAAAATCGCTGATGTGTCACATTGAGTGGTCGAAGTTTTGCGTACTTACAAAATACATGTAAGAAATTGATATCATCTATTGGTTCCTCAGTAATCATAAACACTCTTGGAAAATGAGTTTTTGTATTCGGAATCTTCACACTAATAAATGACTGACAATCTTTAATGGCATCTACGGCCAAAAACGTGATTTCTTCCCTCCTACATGCTCCAAATACTCCAACGATTAAGACAGCTTTAGCTAACAGGAAGTCTTTTCATCAGCTTCTTTCATAAAGCGTTCTATTTCCAGTTTTGTAAATACTTTTGATTTCTTTGCCTGATATCCGGAAACTTTTCTTTTTAAAAATGCAATAAGGTTTGTGAATTTGCTAATATCTACGTTTCTGTTCAGGTACATCATGGTGCAGAGCATCAAACACATATTTACTCCACAGAGTTGACGGCTCTAAGGTAGTGGATAACTTCAGGAAATAGGCTAGCAATACCTTTTCTGTGAAATTCTCAACATGTTTTTCTTTGACCCAGGTTTCAAAGTTGTAGGTGGTCTCGTATAAGATTTTCGACTTCTCGAGCACTAACGTAGATAGCGCAGTTTCAGCAGCTTGTTGAATATCCAAAGACTTGTCATTATCACTCATTTTTCACAAAAGTGTTTCACATTTCTTTGTAGGAAATACGGCAACGTTTGAACCTGTCAGAACTTTGTCATTAAACAATGCATAAACAATGCTTCAGAAACCGATTACCAGAACATTTTTAAAAATGTTTAAAAAAGAAATAATAATAATAGCATGAAAATCTCAAATTATCCGCTTTCACAAAAATCTTGTATGAAATTCGTTGCGAAAAGAGTGTTTTTAAGCACTCGACGGATTGTCCAACTCGGCTTTCGCCTCGTTGGACAATTTTGCGTCCGATGCTTAGACACATTCATTTCGCATCTTGTTACATAAATAGCTATTTCTTTATGAAGAAAAATAAAACGCATTGTATATATACAGGGTTGTTCACCACATACAACACGGAGTATTGTAGCTAAACGATGAGATTTTTACAAATTGTAAGTTTGGGGTTCGTTGAAGGACTGTTAGAGCTACAATTTAAAAATATTTTTACAAGATACAGAGTGTCCCAAATAAATAAAAAATATCAAAGATGTATTTTTTTAAATGGAACACCCTGTATATTATTACATTTTTAGTTTCTACGATTAAAATAAAGGTAAATTTGATTAAGGTTTATTATACTTAAACATTACGTTTTTGAAATATTTTCAATTTTGTGAAATTGCAGTAAAAATTTTAAAGCTTTATTTCTCCAAGGGTATCAATGTTTTTAATACTAAATATTTAATGAAGTTTATTTATTGATCAGTTATTGTGTTGCAATAATAAAAATAATACTACTTTATAGAGAGTGTCTAAAAATTTACTTTAAATAATTATTAACTTCAAACGGCAACAACTTCTTTAATTTAAATAGAATGCCCTGTATATTTTAGGAGAATCAGATGCACAATTAAATTGTCTATCAAATTGCATTATACCATTTTTTACCTATCCCTTCAAGTTTTAGTAGAAAATGCATTTTCTTATAATTTAGACCTCATTTATCAATATATCCATGGAATATTGACATTTTAGATTGTTTTTAAAGCAACAAATGTACAAAATGTACAGACTAGTAATATTATCGTTTTTAGCAAAACGATAATATTACTACCCGATTAATATGCAAAAAGAAAACTATTTAAATCTTTATAAAAAGTATACCATTAATTAAATATAACACCATTATTTCCGCCCATATACTAATTAATGGCATACTTAATTGTGTTCGTTAATAAATTATTATAAATAAATGTGGATTTTTGAGTTAGAAATCAATATAATAATAAGTTATCAAATTAAAGTCTTTGTTGTTATAAATAAGCATTTATTAAAAAATGAGATATCATTTTTAAGGTGTTACTTTTTATCACACTGTCTAATGCCCATACAAAATTCAGTTTTTTAGTATTTGGAGCAATTATTATTAATCAACGCAAACAGTCAGTTAATGTAGTTTGAATACTGAAATCATATTAATTGGTCCTCTTTAACAAATATTTAAACAGTTTTTTTTTATTTTTTAATAAAATAAACAAATTATATCGACAATATTAGTATCTGTACTCTTTAAAAATGTGGTACATCTTTAAAAATAATCTAAAATGTCAATAGTCCATGGGTATATTGATAAATAAGTTCTAAATTACAAGAAAATGTATTTTCCACAGAAACTTAAAGAGATAGGTAAAAAATGGTATAATATAATTTGATAGACAATTAAATTGTGCATCTGATTCTCGTAAAATATACAGGGTGTTCCATTTAAATAAAACAAGTTATTGCCGTTTGAAGCTAATAATTATTTAAAATAAATTTTTAGACACTCTGTATAAGGTAGTATTATTTTTATAATTGCAACACAATAACTGATCAGTAAATAAACTTCAGTAAATATTTAGTTTTAAAAACTTTGATACCCTTGGAGAAATGAAGCCTTAAAATTTTTACAGCAATTTCACAAAATTGAAAATATTTCAAAAACGGTAAGTTTTAAGTATAATAAATCTTTCAAATTTTTACCTTTATTTTAATCGTAGAAACTAAAAATGTAATAATATACAGGGTGTTCCATTTAAAAAAATACAACTTTGATATTTTTTACTTATTTGGGACACTCTGTATCTTGTACAATTATTTTTAAATTGTACCTCTAATAGTCCTTCATCGAACCCAAAACTTACAATTTGTAAAAATCTCATCGTTTAGCTACAATACTCCGTGTCGTATGTGGTGAACAACCCTGTATAATTCATTCATGTTTCCTACTACGACAAATGCATACTAAACCAGAAAAGATACAAAAATTATTAAATTAGAGAAAATTTGCGTTTTGCTGAAACCTAACAATGTCATCTTTCGAAACAAAACAAAAACGATTGCTTCCGAAGATTGGGAAATATTTTTGCCACAATTTTCCCGATTTCTTTTTTATCTTTTCCGAATTTATTTCAAAAAATACGACAACACAAATTTCACAATACCATTACTATTTTTCCTGCTTACAAATTCTTGATTACAGTTGGGTTTGTAACTTGAAAATAATACCGCATGATCCAAAAAAAAACGGCGTTCGGTTGGCTTAGAAATAAACATCGATGACATTCCTCATATAATTTTACGTATAAAATAAAATGAAATTTTGATTTTAAACATATAAACATTTTAAAAGACAATAAAATAATACTAATTTTTATTGTTCAGAAAGCCGATCTTGCAGTTTGTGACTTAACCATCACATATGAGAGAAGACGTGCTGTCGATTTTACAATGCCATTTATGACTCTGGGTAAGTTCAGATACTATTATTTATTTATTGAAAGAAGAAACACATATTTGTTAAGATATACAAATATTAATACAGATTAATTCCACTTTATAAAAAACCTTAAATTTAAGTGCAAAACCACTTGTATATTCATAATAGATTATGTAATATCAAATTTACATTAATAACTTCAATACTGGCGGCATCTAAATCGTTCCCACAGCAATAAATGGAGTGGACAAATGACGACTACACGGAAAAAACCAAATATGTCACATTTTCATAGAACTTAAGATAGCGACGTTGAGCGATACAATTTTATGGACAAATGTTAACGTCATTCGAAAAAAAAGAAAGCAATAATACGCTAAGTCCCAGAGATATTACAGCTTGCTTATTTTGCCGTACATAGGAAAAACCAGAGTAGTCCACGCGTAAATGGCAAAAACCAGAGATGTACTGACAATATAGTAATAAAAGAACTTAAAAAGAAAAAAGAACCACTAGAAACGACAATTTCGGTATCCATCGATGCGACTATACTGTTTACTTACCAAGGATTTAAACAATGTTTGTGCTGGCGTACTTGTTGAAATTGATACGTCGTGTGAGCGCCACACTTGCCGATGTTGTTTACAAAGTGTGGACTGGTGGGGATACTTGCCAAGTACGCAAATATTGGCGTACTTGCCAAGTAGACCAGTCGTGAGAGTGCGCCTTTACCCAAGTAGCAAATTTTATTTTATAAAGGCTGTATAAACAGCTATGTGATCATTTTTATAGGGTACTTCAATTCATATAACGTGCTATAAGACCGTAATATGATAGCTTTACAACCAAAAAAGGCCTATTTTTATACAACCGTTTAGTAGTATAGAAGTTCTATAAAAAGGGTATACAACTCTTATGCAACTATTTTACACAGCGTTATATAACTATTATAAAACTAGTGTTATTGTGTATTACGTGGTTACATCTAAGAAACAGGACAATAAAAACATTTGATCATTTAGCGAGGTAAAAGAGTATTTTATTTTTTACCGAAGAATATTAGGAGCAAATTATATTTTAAGCGTGTCGTAAAATAAATCTAGAGGATGTGGATTGTTAAAAAGGAGACTCGACGGTGAAAATGGTGGGTAGAGCTAGAAGGTACAACAAATAATATAAAAAATCATTAATAGGGTTTGAAAAGTAGGGACAATTTTTGTTGCGCCGAAAATTTTACTGGTAGATTATAGGTATGTATTTGGCAAAAAATTAAAGCGCTTTAATTTCGATTAAGGTTTACGTATAAATTTAAACAATAAAATAAAATAAAATTTTCAAAAATTCTTGTTTTTAATTTAATTGAACAGTTTATTACTGTATGTGGGAATCTTATCACAAAATAGTTCTCAAAAATAACATTTTACAATTTATTTTGATGTTTTTAATTTTGCTTCATATAATGGCGGCCATAGGCCATACAAAAATTCTGCCTTAAACATGGTGAATTATAATGCAATAATATATTTTATTATAAATGAATCCCTTAAATAAGTCTTTGTTGTAAAATAAAAAGGTATAGGATAAATATCTATCATTACGCAGAATTTCCAGGCACTATAGAACTATTTTTGACATTTTGAGATTTGTGACAAATAGATGTTGCCAAATCTCATTAGATTAGTATTTAAACTAACAAACATGATCAGGTTTTCATGGATTCATGCACGCAATGCATTTCATGCATGCCCGACGAGTGAGCGGCAACCTAAGGACTTGGAAAAACAACAATAAAACAATACAAACACTACTACAGTAAAACTTTTACATCAACGTGGCAACAATGCTTTGAAGGAACCAGACAACCCGAGAGATTTTGGCTTTTGGGAACCCAGGGAATTCTCGGGATTATTTGCCGTAATTTCGATGAGTTTTTTCTTACATGCTCTTTATAACTACCAATGCGTTTGTTAATTTTTTTCCAACTTTGTCCAGAATTCATAATAGCTCTAATTGATTATACTCGTACGTAGATATTACTTTTGCCATAATAACAAAATAAATAACTAGGTATACCATTTAATTTAAAATGAGGTTATATTATACATTCCCAGTTTTATAATGCAGGTATTACAGCGAATTTATTTTGTTAATCACAATTTTATCATATAAGGCTATATAACTAGTGTTGTATACAGCACCGTAGTTTAACGCAATAAAACATTCTATCATACAACGTAATACAACTTTAATAAGACAAGTTTAAGTAACTATTATATGATCTTGTGACTACTAGTTATATGAATAATATAGAACTCTTACATGGTGGGTATAAGAGTCTAATAAAATAATATGTTTGTTATCATATAGCATTGTCTTATTAAGTGTTATATCATACTAAAAGAAATTATCGTTTAATGCGTTATAGGATACGTTGTAAAAACCACTAGAAAATAGTTTAATATGACAACTTTTATTAAAAAACAGAATGGTCGAAACCAAACGGTTAATAAAATCAAGCAGTCCTTAAGACAACGATATTCGACTGTTATAAAATAATTCAATCCTTTTAGAACTTCTTTTTGCTACTTGGGTAGGCACCTGCATTTTGTATAGTAAGGTTTCGTCCATATTATTTGTCTTAGCTCAAAGCGATAAAAAATCGGGCATTTACTTTAATATAGTAAATCCGCCAAATGTTTTACAAGAAAATAGCATTTCTAATATTCCTATAAAGCTCTACTTGCATGCTACAGAATTTCTACGTAACTTGAATAAAAATACACAGGAATGCGACGTTCTCGTATGAATAAACTTTTAGTGACCATTTAATTTAACTTTGTAAAAGTACCGTTTAAACTTTTTCCGTGTTTGGTAAAAAACAAGCCGTTTCCGACTAACAATACAAAATTTAAATTGTTCATAGTTTTGTTTTAAGTTTTAAATTTATTCTCTACAAATTTATATGTAGGTAGAAGGCGATTTGAAAACTATTTTCAGAATCTAATAAAAAACGTAGTATTTCTTACAGCAATAGGAAACTATTTTGAATTTGCCAAAGTGCTTTTAATTGTTTGCGATAAATAGCTAAAAGTGCCCATTAAAAATATTACATATTATAATAATTACATTTTGACTACAAATAATAATAATTTGTTATTGAGATATTGACTGGACTATTACTTTTATTTCAGGCATAAGTGTGCTCTATGCCAAAGCTGTCAAGGAACCTCCAGAATTATTAGCATTTGCCCATCCACTCACCTTAAATATATGGCTCTATATGGCAACATCATACTTGGTCATCTCTATGATTATATTTTTGGTAGCCAGGCAAGTAAAAATCAATAAGGTATTTAATTTTCTATGGAAACATTGTGTGTGACACAATAAATCTGTGGCACAATTATTCAGCAATCTTGATCATCTTCATTTTCTAAATTGATGATCAAACTGAAGAGATCATTGTGGTCAAAATATACCTCATATTGATACTATAGACGTATTAGACATCGGACGTTGGAAACATAGGAAATCCCATGCAAATTTTGAACTGCCCAGACATTGGCTCCCCTATTTATTTTACAGTGAAGTCGTAAGTGTATGGCTGAATACACCTGCCAAATTTTAACAATTCTGGACCAGCCGATATTAAGTAATTTAAGAAAAACTATTTATTTTTAAATTAAAACTGGACAGGTAACAATATAGGTTTGTTCCAACCCCAAGTTTTAGAACGGTCCTGGAACCGTTCTGTAATCATTGGGACTAGTCTTATCCGCATGCGTTAACTCGGCACTGTTTTTGAACGATTCTAGATTGACAATCGGTTGGAACAGTTTCGGAACCGTTTTTAATCTGTCTTGTCAAAACACCGGTTAAAATAACCTCACTTTTTGTTTGATGTACGATGTAAACAAAACAAACCTTAATAATATTCTTCACAGATATTCATATTAATTGTATAGAGCAGTGGAAACTGTAAAAAGTGGTAAATTACTACCTACATTAATAAATAATGGACACAAACCATAATTTTGGAAGTTTCACTTGGTTTACTCTTCGTTTTTTTTTGTTTAAAAGTGTGAACTGTAAAATTTTAAACCCTAGCTAAATTTTTCATCTCACCGAGGTAATTTTTATTTTTGGTTCTTGACTGATAAAGTTCTTCCAAATCATCTTCACTCGACTGCCCTTCTGTGAAAATATCACTGTCTTCGTCACTACTCATGACGTCTTATGGTCTTATCAAAATGTTTATATGCTATTTAATTAACAATATCTAAGTATAGAAAGAATTCTAAACACTAAAACGCATTAAACTCCAAACAAATCCACAAAACAAAATAAACAAACGCCCCGGCCCAAAGGTCAATCAGGTGATAACTTACTAACTGCGCATGTCAGTACAAACAGTTCCAACTTACTGGCAAGTATCGAAATTACGGTTCCGAAACCGTTCTAATAACGATCAGAAAATTGGTTGGAACGCAACGAGAATCGTTCGAGAACGATTCCCATCAAGGTTGGAACGCTTTTAGCCCTATGCGCATGAACAGAACCGTTCCTGAACGGTTCTCAGCGGGGTTGGAACAAACCTTATAAAAACAGGCATATGCCAACGTATCTCAAGTTGTCATCCTATAATTTTGACAATATCAAATTGTATTTTCTAAACGTTAGGCTTTAGCCTCATTTGAACCAGTTTTAAATTACAAAAATACATTTCGGGGACACTAAGCGTAGGTACTATAACGTAGTATATACAGAACAACAAATTACATTTGAGAATGATAAAATCATAGGTTGTCAACTTCAGGAATGTTGACATTTGACTGGTTTTGCATTGTTACCTATTCAGTTTCAATTTAAAAATAGATGTAGTTTTCCATAAATTACTTAAAATCGGCTTGTCAAAAATTGTTCAAATTTGGCGTATACTTACCGGGTGGGCAAATAAGAATGGGCGCCGGCTGTATCTCAGAAATTACTTATCCTATAACTAACTATTGGATAAAAAATCTAATAAGTAAATCGACCAAGAGAAATCGCTGAAAATTATCTTCAAGTTCGAAAAATGTCCGCTAGGGGGGCGTTTCTCTGATATCCAATCAGAAAAGGGTTTTTTTCTCAAAAATATACAGGCGAACAGATATTTTAAATATTACTATTATATTCATCGATAAATTTGTATTTTTTTTGATATAGAGTATTTTGCACTATCTCATAAAATAAAGTGGTGGGGAAAGGTTAAACTTGCTTTTATTAAAATAAGGATAACTCTTTATCGGTTACTCGGTTAGCCGGTTAGCCGATTTAAACAAACTAGGGCTCGTTTAAAAGAGCTTTTCTTCCTTAATAATCTCCAGTATAATTTTTTTTCATATTTTTTTCGTGGTAACTAGAGGCCGCTGTTTGACATCATAATTTTTTATTAATCATTAATAGGAGGCCATATTATTCTTTGTACCGTTAAATAGAGCACATTTTCAAAATATTAGCGCAAACCGCAACTTTCTATGTTCTCTCTAACGGGAGATATTAAGAAAATAAATCATATTATGCTGTCGAATAGTATTATAAAGACTAAAAATTATAGTAGTAGGCTAGGTTAGGTTAGAAGAGGTAAATTGGTTACGTCAAAATATCAAAACGTTTAAGTTCAGTATTTTTTTTGGAATTATGTTGTATTACGATTATACACCTATTTTCAACAATTTTCGAATTATGATTTTTTCTTTTCAAGTTTTGATTTTGAAATGTTAAACGAAAATTTTGTAATTTCCAGACTTTATATAATCTCATTTTATACCTTTATAAATGCTGAACTTGAAAACTAATGTCAAATATTACTAAGTATCACAGTTTTCGCAAAATGGAATCGTTAAATGAAACCGAACACATCGAAATTAATTAAATCAAATTGTTTATGTGATATTTTCGAAAGTCAATAAGTCGGAAACGTTTGGTTTGAGGTACATTGTGTGTATCTCGATTTTTGCTTAGAATTGAAGGAAGAACCGAAATATGCGATAATATACAGGGGTTCCATTTAAAAAAATGAAACTTTGATGTGCTACGACTTTATTACCGATACTGTAACTTTTATATTTAACTTTTTGCGATACCTCTTATATTTTATCTAATAATCGATATGTATCAGCGACATTGTATAAACATTTAACTATAATGAAAATAAATGACCATACCATGACCAAAGAATGACCATAAATTAAAAATATAACAATTAGTAATTACTGAGAAGTATAAAGGTTGATTCTCCCTATACCTTCCGTTTCCATTCCATATCCGTTCCGTATGTTTTATTGTATGGACGCAAAAGTAAGCTTCCGTTCCATACTTTTTATTGTACAATTTATATCATTAAGAAAGTTTTATTTTAATAATTTGTATCTGTTGAAAAAGGCAATAATTTTAATTAAGAGGTGAAAGAATAAATAAGTATCAGCAAAATTTTAACAGAGCTGGTATACAAATTAAGAACTTGACAACGCTATTTCCGATATGCTTCGGTACGTCGGCCAAAAAAATGCGTGGAAGGAAAGGATATGGAACGGAAGGAAAACGGAACGGATAGTGTACATTGTCCTATTCATTTACATGATATAATATTTTACGTAAACGGAAGGGAGCTGATATGGAAGGTATAGTGAGAATCAACCTTAATACGGTATAATATTACTGTTTTTTTATTTCAGATGAAAATTCACCAAGTGTTTCTTTAAAAAAAACTTTCTCATTAGGATTATTAATAATCATTTAAATATTACGTAAGTTTCAGTCATTAAAGTCGGAATTAAACAAGACGTTTGATTCTACCATTTAAGCTATTGGAAATAATGGCGGATGCCAACGGTTTATTTACTCCTATATATCTCTATCTATTTTATACAAAACTAGACAAAATGTAATTTGGCTGCGAAATACTATAAGCCGTAGACTTTTAGTCTTGCGCCATTCTTCGAGGCGTAAAAGTTTTTAATTTTGACATACAACTTAGTTCGTTCTTCAACCTCGTTCCCCAACTTTCAAAACAAAACTTTATTTTCTCTAACTCGCCCAAAAATACAAACGAAACTTTAAACGACGACGAAGTGCAAACCACAGCCGCGAACTTTTGATAATGTAGTCTTTAGAAGAATGTAATCGTCTTAGATCATTAAGCTGTACTTGTTTAGCGTTGGTAAGATGCTCTCTGGAAGATTTATTGCGTAGAGAAATAAGTAAAGATAGAGGTGCCCTAACATAAGTATAATATTGGATTGTAATAAATCTCAATTTCCGTATATTAAGTAACAAAGCAATAGTTTGCCAATAATTTACACACTGTAGTTCCCTTATATTATATTGTAATCGACTGCAAGTATTACAAAACAGAGCATTAAGAATTGTATTGGGAGAAAATAAATATTGTATATTGTATATTATATTTTATAGAGCCAAATGATTGCAACAGATATTTTATTTAGATTAAAGCTGCAAAGATTAGTTTAAACCGAATTTATTATCACTATGTTGGTCACATTGCGTCGTGTTTAGCAATGTTGCCCTTTATTATTTGAAAACAATTATCCTAGTGTCAGTCCTTATTTTGTATAATATCGTGTTGTTGCTGAATCTTTGTGAGTAATTCTCGTTTTTTGCCTATTTTCATTTGTCTTTTTTTAAAAATTGCATTTTTAAGCACAAACAGTTCTTTTAAGAACTAAATTTTCGAGTTTTTGTACTGTATTTCTTGAAATTGTTTGTTGAAAATATGCCGAAACATTTAAACAGTTGAAGCAAAAAGCTTGTAGCTTCCCTGTTTGTTTAACTATTTTGAACGAGAACGTGACAATAAAGGTCCTTTATTAACCTTGACTGCAGTCAGAAAAGTAAGTTTGATTGATAATCATATTATACCATTTACAGTTAGTTTTTATTAAATTATGTGCTTATTTGTGCATTAAAAGCACCCTCTTACTTATTATTACCACTTATAGCGTTGTAAGATGTACAGGGTGTCCCATTTTGGTTGAAATCATACGATATCTCCGTTATTAGTGAAGATAGAAGGGTGCGGTTTGCACAAACCTGTCTCACTTTTTTGTCAAACGGAAGATGCCGTAAACAAAATTTTCATAGCTCTCTTCGTTTCCGAGCTACAGGGTCTTTTTGAAAGTTTTGCAATTTGGGACACATCCGGTATCTCTGTTATTGTTAAAGCTATCGAGAAGGTGAAAATTGTTTATTGTAGAACTTTTTACGTAGAATACAGTGGCGTAGTCTGTTTTTCTACCAAAAAATATTTTTGAAAATATTAACTAAAGTTA